TGCGGTCAGCTGCCCCGGGCGTTTGGGTCTGAGGAAGGAGCGCTCCGGCTGCCCGCTCCTCTCCCCTTCCCTGAGTGCAAAAGGCAGCGTCACAGCTTGAGGCTCTGCCCGATCCAGCCCCGCACGGCCGTGACCTTGGTGTAGACGCCGGGGAAGAAAGGCCTTGCGCAGCCATAGCCCCAGCTTGTGATTCCAGCCAGAAACCATCGTCCTGAGGCTTCCCTGCAGGCCAAGGGGCCCCCTGCATCGCCCTGCGGGAAGAGGGAGACCGGCTGGGCAGGGCAAGCAGCCCTATGGTGGCAACATGGGCCCCCCTGGCAGCCTGGTGTGTCCCTGCCTCTCCCTGCGTAGGGCCAGCCAGGCGCCCAGCGGAGGCCACAGGCAGGCAGTGGAAAGGGAGAGGCGGGGCGGAGGGAGGTTCCTGCCCATGCTCACCGAGCAGCTGTCAATGGTGCCCTGCGGGAAGCCGGCGCACACCATCCGGCTGCTGATCTGGATGGGGTAGAACTTCCTGCAGGCCTGCTCGCCCATGACGCTCACGGCTGCCTTTTGCAGGTGCTTGGACATGAGGCCTGCAAAGGTCACAGTCAGCATGGGCCCCCGAGCCTGGAACTTGGGGTGGAAGGCCCATGGCTCTAGGGAGCAGCGTCTCTGGCAGTACCAGGCTATTGGCTGGCGCTGGTGGCATGTGGGTGAGGCCCGTTTCGGAATGAGCCCAGCTCCCTGCCTGTCAGAGCAAGCCTGTGCCAGGCAGGTGCGTCGGTCATGGCCAGCTGATTTAGCTGGAGTTGGCATTGACGCCAGCTAGATGGGCGTGGGGTAGGGGATGACAGCACAGATGTAAGGGCCATGGGCTGGCCTGGGCAGGAGGAAGAAGCTCTGCTTTCGAAAGTGAGATCACACTAAGATATGCAAATGCCCACAGAATTTGCATATCTTCTTTCGAAACTTCGGCCTAGTCTAGATGAGCCCTAAGTCTACGTCTACACGCGTGGCTTCTTGCGCAAGAATCCGCAGAGCGTCCACACCACCCTCCCGCTTTTGCGCAAGGAAATTTACAGGACGGCGTGGTAAGAGGGCTTCTTGCGCAAGAGCTACGCTCTTTAACAGGTGTAAGCTCTTGCGCAAGCGGGCAGTGTGGACGCTCAGCAGGGATTTCTTGTGCAAGAAAGCCCTATGGCTAAAATGGCCGTCGGAGCTTTCTTGTGCTTTTCTTGCACAAAAGCACAGCTCGCACATGGCAGTGTGGACATGTTCTTGGGCAAGAAGATGCCAGTGTAGACAGAGCCTGTTCCTAGGGCTGATTCGTTCTTTACTGCTCAACAGCACTAACCACAGATTCTAATGCTACTATTTTACTCCCACCTTTGAACTAGCAAGCGCTTTCCTTCAGGATAGGCTGGATTGCTGAAGAGGTGATTGGGGAAGAACAAAGAACTGTGTAATTTGTCATGCTCACATAGGCTATAGCACAGCTCTGAGCATGGGGGGAAGTATAATCATCATTTTTCTTTATGCCCCAATCTTGTGTCCCAACATACCACTGATTATAATTGAAATAGAAATGCTCTGGAAATATCAGAGAAAAGGCGGCTTCTCTGTGATTAGAACAGAAAGCAATTACTGGCTAACTACTTCATTCTTTTTCCAAAGAACACAAAGCTACCTGCTTTTTTGGCTTCCTGCTCCTTAAGGGCTCACCCTACGCACACTACCAACCAATCTACTAATTGTAATGACTAGTCCAATTGAACAAAACCAACCAGCTCCTGGGATATTGTTCTTGCCTGATACTCGTAAGCAGGGCTCGACAAATAATGCAATCTGCTCGCCCGTGGCGAGTAGATTGCAACCCAGAAGAGCCAGGTTTGGGCAAGCTGTGCCTGTGCAGAATGATCTATGCATGCGCAGATCGCCGGCCAGCGTGGCTGGTGAGCGGAGCTTGCCACAGTTTGGCGAGCCCTGCTCATAAGTATGTTCAATGGATGGAACTCACTGGTCAGCTCATTCCTCATGTCCTGGTATGGCCTTGCAGTGACTCCGTGATGGGTTGGCCTGGGCGGGAGGAAGAAGCTAGAGGGGGTGTGGAGTGCTGGGGTGTTGGCTGGACAGATACAGCTTGGCATGAGTGTTGGCGGGCGGGTGTGGTGCAGTGCGGCTGTTGGCTGGCGGGTGTGGTGCAGTGCGGCTGTTGGCTGGCGGGTGTGGTGCAGTGCGGCTGTGGGCTGCCGGGTGTGGTGCAGTGGGGCTGTGGGCTGCCGGGTGTGGTGCATGTTGGCTGTTGGCTGCCGGGTGTGGCACAAACGCTGTTTGCTGGAGCAGCGTGGCCCACCCCTGGCGGGACATGTCACTGCTGCCTACCGTGCGGTACCACCCGGGCCTCTCCTCCTTCCTTGGTGGCCCCCCAGCCGGTGATGACGCACCGGGCCCCTTCCCTGAAGACGTGGGAGTTGTCTGGGAGGCAGATGGGCCGGATGGTGCTGGTGAGCCGCACGGCCGTGGCCAGCTCCAGCAGCGCCACGTCGTAGTCCAGCGTGTAGACGTTGTAGAACGGGCCACATCTTGGGGTCGCTGTAGCTGTGGGATGGGAGAGAGCAGGAGGGCCCTTGGGAGGAGGCCTGCAGGTGCTCGGGCCGGGCCCAGCCCCTGCCCTGTGCCCTGTGCCCTGGTTTCCGTGATGGTGCCCTGTGACTGGCTCTCCAGGTTCTCTGCCTAGGACCCGACGGGGCTGGGGGCTCTGACCCGGGGCAGTCTGCTGACGTAGCAGCCTCCAAGGGAAGCAGGCGGGGGAGGCGGGGG